CAATGATATCCCATCAACATTACAACATCAATTACACCTTGGACAGAGGGATTTTTTGAGAAGCTAGTATAAGTAGCTTTGATAGCCCCGTAGAGGTGTTTTGCGTTTTGACGAGAATCCTTGAAGGATAGTTGGCCTGTGGATTCGGTTGTTAATGTCTTATAGGGTAATTCTTCTGGAGTCGAATTCAGATCTCCAAGTAAAAATACAGGTTTGCTTGTCTTCTTGATCAGTGCTTCTGCTCGATAACAAATGAGCTTTGCAGATTGTTCTCGAGCTGTGGAAAGAGATTGGTGATTTGGTCAGAGTTAACTATATCAATGAAATAAGACTCAAAAGGTGTACTTGGCGCTCAAAACTTGAAGGGAATTTTGGGAACAAGAGATACGAAGACTAACCATAGCTACCTCTGTCATCAAAATGAGTATTCATCACAAATATTGATCGATCTAAAGAATTTTGTCCAGGTAGTTGAAAGATTCCATCAACTTGAACGGTGTTCAACTTGGGCTTCAATTCAACGCATGTTACCATCCTCGTTTGACCCTGATTGATAGAAAATTGTTGAGTGAATGAGTTACCTGTGATGCTGAGAAGTTTACTTACTGAATCCCAACTTATACTACCTGGTACATCAGGCTCTTCACTTAGCCAAAAGTAATGATGATCAACTAATTCAAACTGATCTGATTTCCAAAAGATCGGTGCATACTCTCCCAACCTTTTCCCATCATCACGTCCAACACCTATGCCAGTATAACCTAATTGATGTAAGCCTTCAAGTAAATCGATAAATTGATGATCTAAAACTTCTTGAGCTCCAATTATATCTGGTTCTTCCCAATTTAATTGATTTAGAATCAAGGGGAGTCTGGTTGACCACGGTGCTTCTGGTAAGATCGGATGAGAATTTGTGGGTGAATATCGTATATTGTATGTTGCTAGTTTTAAAATTGACAGATAGTGTAGTGGTATCATCATATGTTGTTTCTCTTGTCAGATGAATGAAGAGGTTTTTGGGAAGAACAGAAAAAGTCTATGAGAAATGAAGTTTGATGACAAACTTTGAAGTGAAATCAGGTAACTTTGAAAATAATAGATTGCTCCTTTGATGAGATTATCATTTTCAATCGAACTTCATAAATCAAACTGGCATATCTCATTCATCGATAGTGAGCTCGGCCTCAACATCACATGGATCAGAAGTCATTCTCATATACTCAATCTCTTAAGCTCCTTAAACCTTTCCTCAAAGTGAAAAAAATGAAGACAGATAAAATTTGTTCACCTAGGAACAAGCGCTGCTTCATTTTATCTCGATCTCTCGAGAATAAGAGAGACTTATAGCTCACGTCACAACAAACGATACCTTCCAAGCAATCTTGTATATACATCAGTTGAGTTGACCTTGATCCTAGGGTCTCACTGAGGGTGATTTAGCAGTTCATATAAGCTTGAAAGGGACTATTTTCACCTGGAGAGATCTTGAACTTCCCGTTTCAAGTTTTTCAATACGTCTCATTCACACAGTCAATTTCTGAATCATGGCTAAGCAACTTATTCGAGGGGTTATTTTTAAGAAAATGAAAAGGAAAACATTCCTGATGAGGTTGCATGTTTGAAAAAATTCCCACCATTCAATCCATGAGTACCTTTGATGTAAATAAGCTAAAACCTTGTCCTACAAGTTTAAACACACAATTCGGAAGAAGAGGAAAAGCGGAAATATGTAGAAAAGCGTATATGATGACCGATCCAATTTGTATAAGTATTCCGGGATTCCAGGTTCAAGGCAAGACATGCAGGTTTTTCATCACATCTTTACGTTTCACACATAAGTTGTTGAAGTTTGTTCCTCACGGTCCTGTGGTGAGACACTCGCCTTCGTTTGGATCAGAGCTGTTCAATCCAAAGATCGTATGAGTGGTGAGCAGAAAAACGATAAGAAAATCGAGAAATGAGTTCCCATACGTAAATTGCGAAAAAACATAGCTACCCAAAAGACTACAAGATCTGAGAAGGAATGATGTAACTCACGTGTACCACCAATTAGAACCCTGATTATATGCCCCCATCGGACAAGTAGCAATGTCCTTCCTTATCAATCTGGTACAGGTCTCCATTGTAAGCGTCCGTTCCTCCTTATTAACGTTTCGGAAAAGGAAGTCGTATCTATTTCCCGGCTTTTCACCACCTTTTAAACATCTTGATGCAGCGGCACCAACAGCGAACTTTCCAGTCATTTGGCGGCAGAGGTTCTCAATGTTATCGTCCAGGATTTTTCTTTGGTTGGCATCTCCCCAAGTCGGGCCGGTGGTGAAGCATGTGCCGGATACAGACGAATACCACGAGAGTAATAAGAGTGATACGATTGGGATGAACTGCATTTTAGAAATTTTATTGTAGCTTCTGAATCAAAACTGTCTAAATGGATTTGTCGTGAGTGGATGAGTCAAGAAATGGAGAAGAATGGGGTCGTGTTATATAGTCGCAAAGTTGGGAAGACCGCGAGGCATGTCACGTAGACTGGGTTAAAGAAATTCGCCATCAAGCCTGAGCAACGCAAATGCTCGCTCTCCACACCGACCATAGACCCAAACTTGACGCGTGTTGAAGCGATGGTAAGTAAGCTCGCTACTCGCCAAGGACAAGTGCCTCATAAAACCGTGTCAAATATTGATTAATTAGTACTAATATTTATTTCATCTTCATCGCAGGTGAAGTCTGGTGAAGCATTGGTAATCTTCCACCCACTGAATTAACGATTTCAGAGATAACACTTGACCGTGTCCAGGGGTACCAGAAGAGTCTCCACTCCTATGAAGCATAACTTGAGGTAACATGAACTAGCACTGGCAGGGCAATCTCTCTTGATTGGATTTTAACCATCAAAATAACATACTAGTGCTAGCAAAAGATTACGCAACAACGGCCTCTATCATGCGAGCTTGGGAAGTACCCAGATCAAACACCGTTCAACGGCTACTAAATTGGACTTGCAAAGGGCAAGATAGACCAAAAAGCATGGCCAACAGCTGC